ACAGCCAATCCACCCTAACCTGCACATCCCTGGGCACTATGGGACAATTTAGTACAGCCAATCCACCCTAACCTGCACGTCCCTGGGCACTATGGGACAATTTAGCACGACCAATCCACCCTAACCTGCACATCTTTGGTTTGAAGGAACTTCCTATTGCAGGATGAGGGTGTTACTGTCTAGGAGAGCATTCATTGTCCAGTAGGCAAAGAGTTAAGCACATTGCTGTGGGTCTGGAGTCACATGTAGGCCAAATCCCTGGGTAAGGATGGCAATTTCTTCCCTATAGGATATCAGTGCAGCCAGGTGGGTACTTCCCAACAATCGGAAATTGTTTCCTGGTCATCGTTAGACTCTTAATTCCAATTCTGTTCCTATTGAATTTAAATTCCTCCACCTACCATGGTGGGATTCGAACCCGAGTTCCCAGAACATTACCTGGGTCTTTGGCTGCATAGTCTAGCAACGATACCACTAGGCCATCAGCACCGTGACCCAGCCGTGCTGTGTGCCTTGTCCTTTGGGTAATTACATGAATGGTCTGCAACCCCACCCCACTGACAAACCCTGCGTAAAATCCTCAGACTCGCCAACGTATCGGTGGGAGGAACAACTTAGCGGGGGAGCAGTGGAAGCAGCCTGAGGCAGGTTCCACATCGAAGCTCCCCCCAACCACGGGCAGAGATTCCTGCTCACATCAAAACGAGTTTCAGTCCCCAGCGTTCGCTTGGCTTTGGACCGTACCTGGTTTGCGAGGCCGTGCAGGGGTCCAGCTAACCCATTCATCGCCGCTCCGAAGCACAGGTAGGGGTCGGAGAGAGCACTTCCCACCAGGTGGCTGGTGTGGGCACTGACGTTACCACCCTCATGATCGCTGGAGTGAAAGACAAATAAATTTTCAAAAAAAAGCACGTGTCAGTCTTCCGGAGGCAGCACAGTGCAAACGGATTCCAGTCTGGCTATCAAACCCACGTGGGCCTGATTGCATCCACCCTGGGCTGCAGGACACAGCCCCTCAATCACTCTCCAGCTTTACTCCAACCCTGGCAGCCAGCTGGAATGAGCCGACTGCGTTGTGAGGCCAGCTTGGGCCTGCATCTTCTGAGAAGTTCAGACGTCTGAGTTAACTGAATTGAAACACATTTTAAAAGACCCTGATGGAGCGACAGGGTGGATGTGGAAAGGGATGTTTCTGCGTGCAGGAGAATCTGCGACTAGGGATCACTGGTTAAAAAGCAGGGTTGGGGGGGGGGGGGGGCTCACTGAAAACAGATTTCCAGTTAATTCTTAATTTCCCTCAGGGTCAAAAGTCCATTCCTCAAAAGACAGTGGATACAGAATTTAACATTTGTAAGGCACGGGTAAACAGATTCTTGATGACCGAAGCAGGTGGACGAAAGACTATTGAGGGCGGGACAGTGGGATATGCAGAAATGTAAAGTTGAGGTTAACATCAGTTCAGCCAGTCTTATCAAACAGCAGACAGAGCTGGGCCTACTCTTGCTCCTTGTTGGTGTATGTAGGACAAAGGGAGATTGATATATGACTCTCACTAATAAAATCAACAGAGGACCCAGGGAAGCTTAGGTGGTGGTGGTTGGGGGGGGGGGGGGGGGGGGGGGTGGGCAAATTTAGAAGCATGAGGCAGAAAAAGGTGTGTGTCTATGTGTAGGTCTGATGTGGAACTCTAACAGCAGCACAGAAGAGAGGCTGAATGGCGCTCCCCCCACCCCACCCGCCTCACTGTGCTGGGAGCAATCAAATAGATTCCACAAAAGTAAAGACCGCAAACACCTCCAAATTGAGAAAGTGGTGACGGGTGGGGGGAGCAAATAGAAAGGAATGCATAAAGCAAAGGGTGGAAAGTGGGAACAGAACAGAGAACACTTACTCTGTATCTAACCCTGTGCTGTCCCTGTACCTGGGGGTGTTTGATGGGGGGACAGTGTAGAGAGAGCTTTACTCTGTATCTAACCCCGTGCTGTCCCTGTCCCTGGGGGTGTTTGATGCGGTGGTGGGGGGGCGGAAACAGTGACGGAGAGAGTGGGAACGAGACACTGACCTGTGGATGGTGAGGTACAGTCTCATGAGCTCTGTGAACTGGGGTTCAGAGTAACCCAGCATGTTGGTGAAATTGTGGGACCAGTCTAGATTGGGATCAATGGCACCAATGCTGCTCCCCTCCCTGTACAGGTTCCGGTAGATCTTCGACGCCACACAGGGGAGCTTAGCGATCAGATCCATCGAATCCTCATAGATAAACTACAGGAAGAAAAGGAGGCACAGTGAGAGAGAGAGGGAGGGAGTCAGCTGTCCATGCACAAAGATGCAGTCACGCCCAATCTGCTAAAATGTCTACCCAACAGGCCACACCAAGGGGAAAACTGTCAACGTAATCTGTACCTCCCAGCAGGCGGCTGAGAAAGGACAATACACAGGCTGAAGACACGTGAAACTACAGCCTTGCTATATAGCTTGGAATAACGCTAGCGAATTGCAGAATGGCCTTGCAAGTTTGCATTTCCACAAATACAGGGAAAGCACAGACACCCCACTGCCCTCCCTACAGAGTCACAAGACAGGGCAGCTGTGAGAGAGCAGGCCTGGTCTTCAGTGTCTGTCTGCAGTTGTCAATGCCTCTGGCTGTTTAATGGGACACTTGATGCTTATAGAACACACATCAGCTCAGTGCCTATTTATAGCTGTGCTGCAGCAGCAGTTGTTGGGGAAGGCCAGCGAGTCTGCTCACGGTAACACTGCACCAAAACACATGACGGCTGCAGCACATGGGCCTAACACAACACAGGAGCCTCGTTCAGCAGGGAGATTCCCTGCATTAACAGCAGCATAACTCGGAAAACCCTCATCTTTCCTGTCAAAGGCCCCCACAGCCTGTGTCAGCGCACCCCGTCCCCCTACACCCCGTCCCTATCTGTCTCCTCCTCCAGCCCCGTACACTACCCTCCCTTTCGGTCACCTCCTCCAGCCCCCGACAACCCCTCCCTCTCTCCGTCACCTCTCAAAATGAGCTCCTGGAATTCGGGAGTAACGCCATAAGATATAACAGCAGAATTAGACCGCTCGGCCCATCAAGTCCGCTCTGTCATTCAATTGTGGCTCTCAACCCCATTTTCCCGTCTTCTCCCCCGAACCCTTGATTCCACCTTACTAATCAAGGATCTATCTCTGCCTTAAAGAGGCTCGATGACTTGGCCTCTACAACCCTCTGTGGCAATGAGTTACACAGAGTCACTACCCTCTGGGTGAAGAAATTCCTCCTCATCTCAGGTCATCCCTTCACTCTGAGGCTGTGTCCATGGATCCTAGTGTCTCCTACTGCTGGAAACATCTTCTCCATGTCCACTCTATCCAGGCCTATCTGTATTCTGTAAGTTTCAATCAGATCCCACCCTCATCCTTCTAAACTCCATCGAGTACAGACCCAGACTCCTCAACCCCTCCTCAAAATGACAAGCCATTCATTCCTGGGACCTTAGTTGTAAACCTCATCTGGCCCCCCTCCTGGGCTGGCACGTCCTTCCTTAGATAGAGCCCAAAACTGCTCACAATATTCCGAATGCGGTCTGACCAGAGCCTTATACAGCCTCGGCAGTACATCCCTGCTCTTGTATTCTAACCCTCTTGACGTGAATGCCGACACTGCATTTGCCTTCCGAACCGCCAACTGAACATGCGTGTCAACCTTAAGAGTATCTCAAACCAGGAATTTCCCAAATCCCTTTGCACTTCAGATTCCCCCGTTTAGGTACGGGTCCGCGTCTCTACCCGCCTGACCAAGCGTGCTGCCTCACGCCTCTCCTGCACGGTAAGCTGGCCGCGCGGTTACCTCCCAGTATTTGGCCTTGCTGACTCCCTCCGAGTAGGCACGGGCGAAGCTGCTCTCGCTGTTGAGTGCTGTGACGGCCGCACTGAGCTGGGTCATCGGGTGCAGGTTGTTGGGGAAGTTGTCTAGCATTGTCACCACATGTGAGGGCAGGGCTGCTCGCTTTGCCCACTCCTTGGATACCCAGTTGACCTGAAAAAAAAATGATGTGGAAGAGGGGAGGGGCGAAGAAAATGATGAACACGCTCGCCATTCAGTGGGGTGTAGAGAGGAGATGGTGGGTACAGGTGGGCACAGCCCATTTATCAGCACATGCTCACCAATCAGCCTCCCCTGGTCACAATGATCCTTTTCCAGAAGGGAAACCAACTAGAACATAGAAGATAACAGCACAGTACAGGCCCTTCGGCCCTCGATGTTGCGCCGACCTGTGAAACCAATCTGAAGTCCATCTAACCTACACTATTCCATTATCATCCATATGTTTATCCAATGACCATTTAAATGCCCTTAAAGTTGGAGAGTCTACTATTTTTGCAGGCAGGGCATTCCACGCCCTTATTACTCTGAGTAAAGAACCTACCTCTGACATCTGTCCTATATCTATCACCCCTCAATTTAAAGCTATGTCCCCTCGTGCTAGCCATCACCATCCGAGGAAAAATGCTCCCACTGTCCACCCTATCTAATCCTCTGATCATCTTGTATGTCTCTATTAAGTCACCTCTTAACCTTCTTCTCTAACGAAAACAGCCTCAAGTCCCTCAGCCTTTCCTCATAAGACCTTCCCTCCATACCAGGCAACATCCTGGTAAATCTCCTCTGCACCCTTTCCAATGCTTCCACATCCTTCCTATAATGTGGTGACCAGAACTGTACACAATACTCCAAGTGCGGCCTCACCAGAGTTTTGTACAGCTGCAACATGACCTCATGGCTCCGAAACTCAATCCCTCTACCAATAAAACCTAACATACCGTACGCCTTCTTAACAACGCTATCAACCTGGCTGGCAACTTTCAGTGATCTATGCACATGGACACCAAGATCTCTCTGCTCATCCACACTACCAAGAATCTTACCATTAGCCCAGTACTCTGTATTCCTGTTACTCCTTCCAAAGTGAATCACCTCACACTTTTCCGCATTAAACTCCATTTGCCACCTCTCAGCACAGCTCTGCAGCTTATCTATGTCACTCTGGAACCTGCAACATCCTTCCGCACTATCCACAACTCACTCCAGACACAGCTGCTCAGGTCCTAAAGCTCTTTGAGACATGGCAAAAAAGTTTTCCACTGTCAGGATCTCAACACCCACAAGCCTCCCAACTTCCCGCAATGATGCTAAGAGCTGCGTTCTGACCTGGTTTCTTTCAGAGAGGGAGAAAGATTGGGAGACAAGCACCAAGCAGTCTTTAAGAACACAAACAGCTTCTGAGGCCTTGCCAGTATTTTTTTAAAAAAAACACTGGGACAACAGAAGCACAAGTGGGTGGAACACACAGACCTAAGGTTTTGCTTTAGTTAGTGGGTGTCAACTGAGACTATAGAAAACCACCCCCACCCCCACCCCAACCCACCCCCCTCTCTCTCTCTCTCTCTCTCATGAGCTACTACATGTATCTCTTTCTTGCTGAAAGGACTGCACATGAATTTCTGAATTTGCCTTTTTGCCAAGGGGTGTGTTTATGGGATGTTATTATATTGGATCTGTTAATTAGTAGTAGGTATTATTATTGTTGCATTTTCCAATAGAGTTAAATTATTCTAAATTCCTTTCTTTTGTTGCCTTTAGTGTCTGAATAAATTGTGTTTCGCTTATCATTGAGTAGTTTGACCAGTCGAAGTGTGTCTGGAACATAGCACCTCCCATTTACCTTTAAAATAAGAAAAAGTTAGGGTCCAGGTACCCTCTTAAAATATTTTGAGGGAGTCTGGTCTGATCCATAACGTCCCCATGACTAACAGTGGTACCTGGGCCATGCCCTCCAGTCTGCATCTCCCCCACCCATAACTGCATGGACCAGTGTCTCTCCCCGATGCCCCCCACCCAAAAAACAACCCCGCATGCTCCTTCAGAAATGGCCCGATATTACTAACGCCCTCACAACACTTCGATAGTCAGCGGATTAGAAGTTAGGACAAAGAACATCGCTGTCTGCTCCAGCAGAGGTTTAACTTCTAGTTTTTGCCTTCTACATGGTGTTGAAAACAAGAAAAGAGAAAGGGCCATTTATTTGAAGCTTTTCACCTCGGCGCTCACTGGGGTTATTTGCAAGGAACACCAAATTTAAAAACTAAAGGCACTTACGCTCCATATGAGGAGGTTGGAAGGAAGACTCCGGTAGACGGTGGCGTGCTCACAGAGAACGTACCATTTGGTACCGGAAACCGCGTGCGTGAGTGCACAGGGCAGAAAGATTACAGGCGCAGACACTGTTTTGACTCAAGAGGTCGGCCCATCCTCAGGGCTAGCCAAGTCCAGCTTAAAATTTAAACAAAGCCTGGCGTTTAACTGTCAGTCATCATCTCAACTGGTATAACCCAACCCACCAGAATGCCAACACTGCTGCCATCTCCTGTGTTGGCAAGTGTGCTGGCTCGCCAAAAAAAAAAAATCAATCAGCGTTCCCAACTCTCTCAGCAAGAATGTCATTTCCCCTTTGCTCTGGTTTTCTTGCGGAGCTGTTCCAGGGAGTATAATGCAAAAAAAAAGCTTCCGTAAAACGTATGTTTTCTTTGTAAGAGCGTGCATCGATAACGGAAAGATGGGGAAAAAGATCTTGCGTCGCCAGGTGCAGGCGCATCTAGCACTGCTCTAATGACAGCGAGTGCCACTTTATTGCAAAACGTTCACACAGTGCTGTGCTGCACCAATTTTGTTTTTATATAAGTGGCTCTCCTGGCAACCTCTTCAACTGAGAAACAGAGGGGCTCACAATGATAGCCTCGTGGTCGCCTGCTCCTTAAGCGATCCTCAGCGCGCACGCAGTTACCTGCTCCTGTGTGGGGATGTCTCCTGTGACGAGCAGCCAGAACAGACCCTCAGGAAGGGGCTCCTCTCTCCCAGGTGCCTTTGGTAAAAGCTTCTGACACTCGGGTATACTGTAACCACGGAAACGGATGCCCTGTGCAGAGGGGAGAAGAGCCAGAAGGAAAACAACTTGTGTCAGTTCGAACCTCCCAGGAAGAAGCAGCAAGCCACCCAAAAGCGCCACACGGTTGGGTGCTAACTCGAAATCTTTGCGCCAGACAGAGTCCGCCCACTCTCCCCGTCCTCCTCCAACTCTCCAGACTACTTCACATCCCGCTCGGTCTGCTACAGGGCAACCGTGCCTTCAGCTGCCTGGGCCCTCAGACACCAGAACTGCCAGTCTCCATGCCCGCTGTCCAGACCTGTATCTGTGAGCTACCTGTCTCAGTATCTCCTCGTGGAGCTCAGCGTCGTGGGCACCACCTTCGGATGTGTGCTCAAGGCACTGGCCGTGTGCAGGGAGCTGTTGAAACCTCCGTTTCTGCACGAGCTCTAACGCCTCTTCGTTTCATTCACTTGTGAGATGTGCCCTTCATAACCAACGCCCAGGGGAGGTCCCCAACGGAGGGCCTCGCCACCCCGGCCTGGAAATACATTCGCTGTCTCCGGTTGGAAAACGTGCAACTCCCTCCCTGACAACACATTGTGCGGGGTGTCCCTAAACCACGCACGGGGGCGGGAGCACAGCTCACCTTCTTCTGAGCTGGGGATAAACTCAAAAAAAGGGCAATAAAAGTCGGCCCAGCCAGCGATGCCCACATCCCGTGAGCGAATAAAAGAAACCAGGGCTGTGTACACCCATCAGTAAAAAAACACACACATCGAAAGCAAGCCTGACCATCGCGACCCCTCCTAAAAGGCGGGTGATAGCTCAATAACGGGCTGGGACTGGTTGGCATCACACATAGTACGTGGCAATGGAGTGGCCCGTGCGCAGTGAACCTTCACCAGCGTCAGCTTCATACCTCCTCTGGGTCCAGCACCGACGTTTCATACACTAACCCCTTCATTCCTCGCATGCCACCGTATACCTGGGGGGATGGGGGTGGGCGTAATTAACACACACATTTAAAATAGAAAACATCAGTAAACAAGTACAATTCACAAACCAGAGCGCGTGAACGAGATGGGCACCCACCCACACGTTGGCACCTAAGAGGGCAGGGCTGATTAAAACAACAAGATGGGGGCAGATGATCAGAAAACAGATCTCACGATGACACATATTACAGTCATACAGCACAGAAATAGACCCGCGCCAACCATAATTCCAAATTGAACCAGTTCCACCTGCCTGCCTGTACTTGGTCCATCTCCTTCTAAACATTTCTTATTCGTGCATTTATCCAAGTGTCTTTTAAATATCACACCCATACCTGCATCCACTACTTCCTCTGGAAGTTCATTCACACGCAAACCACTCTTGCCCCTTCTGTCTTTTTTAAATCTTCTCCTTTCACCTTCAAAACATGTCCCTGGTTTTGAAATCCCCCACCCTAGGGAAAAGACACCTGCCATTCACCTTATCTATGCCCCTTGTGATTTTATATGTCAGCCATCAACCACCGATGCTCCAGTGAAAACAGTCCCAGCCTATCCAGCCTCTCCTTATAACTCGAACCTTTTAGTCCCAGCAACATGCTGGTAAATCTCTTCTGAACCCTCTTCAGCTTAACAATATCTTTTCTACAATGATTATCAAGTGCAATAATTATTTTAGATAGCATTAATAATATTGATAATATTAGAAAAATGAGACAGGTGCAGGAGTAGGCCATTCGGCCCCTTCGAGCCTGTACCACCATTCAATGTGATCATGGCTGACCATGCAGCGTCAGTATCCCTTTCCTGTTTTCTCTCCATACCCCTTGATCCCTTTAGCCTCAAGGGCCACGCCCAGCTCCCTCTTGAATATACCTAATGAACTGGCCCCAACAGCTTTCTGTGGGAGAGAATTCCACAGGATCACAACTCTGAGTGAAGAAATTTTTCCTCATCTCAGTCAATATTAATAACGTGCTGCCCTTTAAACGTGGAGCGAGGGCTCGGGGGATAGATTTTCCAAAGTGACGTGAAGCATGTGCCCCAGAACTCTCTTGGGGAATGACCCTTTGGTTAGAGGCCTAGAAAAGCCTCAAACCCATCCCACCCCACCCCCGACACATACACACTACCAAACCACTCCCCCAGCTATAGCCCTGACACCCTGCGAGACACAGCGTCGGGCTTTGAAGATGCGGAGAAGGCCCACTCTCTCAGGGAAACAGAAGAGGAACAGGCGTGGGAAATGACAGCCCGGCCTCTGCCTGCCAAACGATTGAAACAAGTTTTCCTGCTCCACCTCAACCCCAGATCTGACCCCCAACCCTGTTACCCACAAACAGGAAACGGAGCACACAAATCCATACCATGTCAACGTTGATTTGCCCGATGACTGTCTTGCCATGCTGCTTTTTGAAAGCTCGGATCCTTGACTGCTCCTTGGGGATGATCTCAGCAAGAATTTCCTTCAGATTCTACGGGAGAGCAAAAGCATCCGTTAGACGTATTGCACAACGCAGGGTGGGGGAGATGTGGACAGATTTGGTGAAACTGCACCCTCGAGCAAGCAGCAAGGCAGCTCCACGGCCACTCAGGTTGTACCATGAGATGTCATCCTGCCTGCTCCTCAACTCAGGCCCCAAACAAACAGGCAGCTTCAGAAAGGCAGGGCAGAGGTTAGCGCTCATTTCGAGAGGGCTAGAATACAACAGGGGGCGGCGGGCAGAAGCAGGGGAGGAGGGAACAGGTAGGATGGCAGAGGAGGGAGGAAGGACAGAAGGAAGCAGGGGGTGGGCAGAAGCAGTATGGAACAGAAGGAATGATGTTCAAAAAGTGTGGATGTGTGTGTTGGGGTGGAGGGGAATGAGCAGTTGGGAACAGAAGGAAAAAGAGGGGAGGTGTGGATGTGAGGCAACAGTGAGTGAGGGCAGCAGAGGACAGAAGGAGTAAAGGGGAATGGTGGTGGGGGTGGTGGTGTGCAGATGTGGGACAATGACAGGTTCCTTAGGCCCAGGAGGACAGGGGGTGGTAGAGCTGGCAGGTGAAGAACAGAGGGGAAGAGCACAAACTTCAAGCAATCCGAGCAGGCCCCCACCTCCCCATTTGGAAACAGACCCAGACGGAGGGGAGCTGCAGATGATGTTGACCACTCACTGTTCTGGTACTTGTATTCCGTGCAGCAAATACGACACATGCAGTGTTCTGTAAAACAAAAGAGAGAGGGAGAGAGAGACAGATGAGCCTTTGTTTAAATTCATTCAGTATTGACATCAACATGGAAAGCAAGTTCACACAGGCAGGGTGCTTAGACTAAACTCCTTGGGGTTGTGGCAAGCTCCAAAGATTGGTAAACCATCCCAGTGAAGGAACACCAAGTCCTGATCGAAGATAGCTGAACCACATGTCGGAGCGTGTACCTACGTGAGCAAGTGTGGATCACCAATTTGCAGTTGCCTGGACAGTTATGGAGTCATTGACTCATACCGAAACTCTCACAGACTCAGCCTAACTTGTCCATGCCGACCAAGTTTCCCAAACTAAACTGGTCCCACTTGCCTGCATTTGGCACATGTCCCTCTATTCATGTACCTGTCCAAATGTCTTTGGAATGTTGCAACTGTACCTGCATCTACCACTTCCTCTGGCAGTTCATTCCACATACGTCCAACTCTCAGTGCGAAAAAGTTGCCCCACAGGTCCCTTTTAAATCTTTCTCCTCTCACTTAAAAATATGCCCGTTGGCTTGAACTCCATCACTCTGGGTAAAAGAGCTTTGTTATTCACTTTACCTCTGCCCCTCATGATTTTATAAACCTCTAGAAGGTCACCTCCTACACTCCAAGGAACAAAGTCTCTTTCAATCCAGCCTCTCTCTAGAGCTCAAACCAGCCAGTCCTGGCAACATCCTGGTAAATCTTTTCTGAACCTTCTCCAGTTTAATAATATCCTTCCTATAACGGGGCGAGCAGAACTGGACACAGTTGCTCCAGAAGAAGCCTCACCAACGTCCCTGTACAACCTCAATGCGACATCCCAACTCCTACACTCAAAGGTCTGAGCAATAAAGGCAAGTGTGCCAAACACCACCTTAACCACCCTGACAACCTTGACACAAACTTCAAAGAACTATGTACCTAAACCCCTGGGCGTCTCTGTTCAAGACAACACTACCCAGGGCCCTATCATTAATTATGCAAGTCCTGCCGTTGTTTGTTTTACCAAAATGCAATATCTCACATTTATTCAAGTTAAACTCTATCTACCACTCTTCAAGCCATTATCCCAACTGATCAAATTCCTTTTGTAATCTTAACATTTTGCACCACCAATTTTGGTGTTATCCGCACACTTAATTAACCATGCTTCCTAAATTCTCATCTAAATCTTTTGTCATTTATATAAGTGACAAACAACAGTTGAAAGGCCTCCTCTGCTGACACTGCTATAACATTCCTTCACTGTGTTCTAGAGAACTTACAGACACAGAATGTTGCCGGGAATGGAGGGCTTGAGATATAAAAATAGACTGGAAAGGCTGGAACTTTTTCCACTGAACTGTAGAAGGTTGAGGGGTGACCTTACTGAGTTTTATAAAATCATGGAGGTGAAAGACAAGGGTCTTGGAGTGTGGGGGAGTTCAAAACTAGGGGGCATATTTTTTAAGGTGAGAGGAGAGAGATTGAAAAAAAAAAGACATGAGGGGCAAAATTTTTTACACAGAGGGTGGTGTGTGTGTGGAATGAACTTCCTGAGGAAGCGGTGGATGTGGGTACAATTACAACGTTTAAAAGACATTTGCATAAGTTTATGAATAGGAAAGGTTTGGAGGGACATGGGTCAAGCGCAGGCAGGTGGGACTAGTTTAGTTTGGGAACATGGTGGGTCTGAACTGGTTGGGCCAAAAGATTTGTTTCCGTGCTGTATGACTCTCCTGCCTATTTACTCAATCATACATTCCCTCTCCTCCCACTCCCCCAGCACCCAAACCGTTTCTCTCTCTCTCTCCCCTCCACCTCCCCATCTGCAGCCTTAACACATTGAGTCGCATCCAACTATTCATACCCTGTGGTTTGAGAGAACAAACTTCTCCGTTAGCACATCACATCACTATTTTCTGGGTGCCTTCCCCTCCCCCCCCCCCCCCCCCCCCCCCCCGCAATCACAGTTAACGCTGCTCGATGTGTTACACAAAAACAGCTGGAGCCTCACTCCTTTCCTGCTTGAGGGGGGAGCCCTGGGTCTATTTTAGGAAGACAGCATTTATTCTCTGCCTGCTCCCTCCCCGTCTCCGAGGGGCTGGGGCAGCCCAATTAAAACCTCCTCTCACAGACAGTTAGCGCTTGCCCATTGAGATTAGTTCTTGACCGTGTCCACACTGACCAGCTGTCAAGCGTTTCTACAATCAGACAGGCTAGCTCAATGCAATACAGCGGGGCACACTGCCTTCCATCCTGTGGGGAAACAGGCAGTGACTGACTGGACTCCACAGTGCACTCTGCTGCCTGAACCCCTTCCAGCCTCACACTCCGTCACACTCTCACGTCAGGGAGTTTACCCCTACCTTTCCCAAACACCCCTAACCAGGCAAAGCAATAACCAAGTCAATTTTTATAAAAACAATGCATTCACAGGAGGAAGGGGTCATTGGATAGGCCAGCATCTGTTGTTCATCCATCCCTAACTGCCCAGTGGGCAGGCAGGGGAGACACAGTGCAAGATCGCGAGCAGGGTTAACGTTTCAGGTCCAGCAACCCTTCTTCAAAATGACGACGATTTAAACCAAATGCAGTGATTTTCAAAAGAAAAAAGTGACTCAAACAGAAGTGGAAACATCAACATTCATCACCGCTGATTATAATCTGCAACCTACCTACAGACTCAGAGCTGTACAGCACAGAAACAGACCCTTCGGCCAAACCCGTCCATGCCGACCAGATATCCTAAATTAATCTAGTCCCATTTGCCAGCATTTGGCCCATATCCCTCTAAACCCTTCCTATTCATGGACCCATCCAGATGCCTTTTAAATGTTGTCATTGTACCAACCTCCACCCACTTCCTCTGGCAGATCGTTCCATACACGCACCACCCTCTGTGTGAAAAAGTTGCCCCTTAGATCCCTATTTAATCTTTCCCCCTCTCACCTTAAACCTACAGCCTAGTTTCAGACTCCCCTACCCTCCGGAAAAGACCTTGGCTATTCACCCTATCCATGCCTGCCATGGTTTTATAAACCTCTATAAAGGTCACGCCCTCAGCCTCCGACACTCCACGGAAAATAGCCCCAGCCTATTCAGCCTCTCCCTACAGCTCAAACCCTCCCACCCTGGCAACATCCTTGTAAATTTTTTCTGAACCTTTCCAAGTTTCACAACATCCTTCCTGTAGCAGGTAGACCAAGAATTGAATGCAATATTTCAAAAGTGGTCTAACCAATGTTCTGTACAGCTGCAACATGACCTCCCAATCCAATACTCAATGCACTGACCCATAAATGGTGGAGTTTGAATTTAAACAAAAAAATCTGGAATTAAGACTCCAACAATGAGTGCCATCGATTGGCAGAAGTCCCACCTGCTTCACTAATGGCCTTCAGGGAAGGAAATGAGCCATCCTTACCAGGTTTGGGCCTACATGTGACATCAGACCGCACAGCGACGTGGTCAACTCTTAACCGTCCCTCTGTCAAATGAGGGGTGGGCAAAAAAAGTGCTCAATCCTGTGAATGAACTTTAAAAAAAGCAAACCAGCAAAACCAGGCAGCCTACCACCCAGCCTCAAACAATAAATCAGCGGGAATGGATAGGAGTCACTCAGATAGGGCCGGGGGGGGCAACAGGGAAGGTTGATGGGGACAGGAAAACCAGGGCGTGGGGCGCAGACCTGTCACACTGGCGGGCAGTGATCTCTGGGCTCTGTTTCTGAACAGCCACAACCCCAGCCCCAAGTGTGTTGGCCTGACTCCATTTTTAACATCCCTCCCACACTCTTCGCCCACCACCCGCTTCCTCCGAGGTACAGCACCTTCAGCAGCTTGGCCCAACCACCTCTTCTGGCACTGATCCCTGCTGTGGATTATACTGCCACACATCACCCCTGATTTGGAAAAGCTCTGAGCCGGAGTCAAAAACCAGATGATGTAAACGAGGACACTTGTGACGCTGAGGGCTCATTGCTACTCACTGGAAGGTAAAGCTAGAGGTTCCCTTGGAACATGTAACCACCAAGGTAAGCTAGTAAGGTCAGCCCACGTTGAGACTAACAGAGATTCTGCCTATTTATCACTAACTAAATTGCGCACTGCTACAGATATGCCTGAATGAGAGCCCCAGACACGTTAAACTTTTAGAAAATCGCGATCCCAAGATATTGCCAGACCAGCCGGCTGGTGGGATTCAGTGGAGAGCCAGGTTAATGCTGTTGGGAGATGGGTTCAAACCCTGCCAATGGTAGCTGGTGGATTCTATCTTTCGTTAACATAATCTGGAATTGGAAACTGAAGTCTCAGTGACTAGTGACTGTGAAACTGCCATTTTAAAAAAAAACAAATTAAAAATCCAACTGCTTCACCAACATCCTTCCCGAAAGGACATCTGCTACCCTCAAGCAGCCTGACTCCACAAAACGCTCCAGACCCACCGTAACACCTCTTAGCTGCCCTCTGAAACAGGCGAGCGAGCAACTCAATTCAAAGGTAATGACGGATGGGTAACAAAACGCCAGCCTTGCCAGCAATACCCACAAAAGGGAATGAGGTTAAAAATGCAGAGATCACTGTAATCTTAACAGTAGGCACAAGGAACTCTCACTTTCTACAACTTCAAAGCAAAGAATTCTGAACTTCCACAAACAGAATTAAGTGCTACCTTTGAGTAAACAGCCAGTGGGAACAAAACTCTCCAAAAAAAAAAAAAAATCAGTACAGCAACACTTCCCTGTTCCTCCTGGATGTCAGAGATTTAAGCCTATCGCAGAAGACAAGGCCGCGATGCAGTGAGAGTGCGGGGAAGCAGATTATGCTCTTGCTGGCTGACCTGGTCTCAAGGCAATCAGTAAACTGGAAGTAAAGCTGACTTGGCCCCGGTCACATCGCGTTTCATCTGCCAGACTGCTCACCTCACTGACTGACTGCACTTCAAAACTAATTCCTCAAGGTGTGGATGCGGTACAAACTACTCGCAGCCCTGCTTTCAGCTAAAT